TTCTAATAATGTTGCATACAACAATAAAATCTGCATACTTTCAAACGTTACCATGTTATAAATAACGTCGTAACAACTTTGTAGCAATGATTTCTTGCTTACTGGGTTGTTTCCATGGTGAAAAAAATCTTACTTTCCATTTCGCTATTTAAATTACGTGCCCCAGAAATTTTATTACACGCAATCTACTAATAAATCATACTTACGCGATACTTACACAATAATTCCTTCTGTTCACGATGAGGATGATAAATCAGACCACGATGAGATCATTTTGTAGCCTCGTTGCATTTCGCGCCGAGGGAAGGAAACTCGTACCCCATTGGCATTTATATTTCGCCAACGGTGGTGGAGTTACCAATCCTCGACACAGTATTTGACAAACGACATACCCGGATGAGGGGGTACAAAAGTGTCCTTGAGCCGAATAAACCGACGCCTAGTCCATTCGATATCTTATCAACAAAGAAGCGTTCAGACCAATTCTTATCCGTGGATCTGAACCGGTGCAGCAATAATGGGGAGAATTCGTGAAACCTGTTTTCTTACATTCTTCCCTATTCGTCGTGCGAAAAATCAGAAAAAATTCTGACATGTTACTAACACATCTAGGCATGCCTAAGAATTTTTTCAGATTTCTACTTGCAAAAGCTAGCCTAAAAAAAAAAAAAAAATAGAAAAATTGCTGAAATACGTGAATACAGAATAAATAATCACGATTTATCTGCGGGTATGAAATTGTATCGCGTGGGCAGACGGTAATTGGCTGTTTTCGGGACACCGTGTGTGCAGCCGAAGGAAAGGGAACGTGTAAAAAGAGCATTAACTTGCAGACTGCGACCTTGACCGAAGCAGTGTCCGCGGCTGAAGCGCATACATACACGCACAAATGTTCGTCCGCACACGGTGCGTCTAGCTCTTCAAAGAACTGGCAAATTCTCTCGCTTATACATTTGTGAAATATACGAAAAGCTCGAAGCTTCTGAGAATTTCGCGAAGAACCAACGAGCGACGATGAGTAAAAAAAAAAACGATGAGGAACGAACGAGATATTTGGCAGGTTTCCGGATTTTTCACGTTCCCTCTGACGCGTTTAAAATAGAAATTGTTTGAGAAATTTTCGCATCGCGAAGTAGCGGGCGATGCTCTTCAACGATTCAACGCCGAAGGTCATCGGAGGAAGCCGGGATCCGCGGTGGAACACGACCGTCCTAGTACCTATGTACCGGGTAGCTCTCTCTAAAACTGGTTTCGTCCGCGATTCTTTTCACGGATTCTTTGAAAAAAAGGGGCAACATCGTGCAAAATCCCGAAAACATCGAGCCGTATACTATTCTTAATCCAATTGGCTCCGTTCAGTTTACAGAACGAAAGAAAGTATCGGTTGCTAAGCGATTACAACGAAATTCAAATTGAAACATTTTATTTCGTTGAACGTTTCTACCGATAAATGAAACTATAAATGATCTTCGATGGCTTACCTTTGATCTGAACCAACGTCGACGTTAGATATCCTCTGGTTTCGCGTGAGAACATTTTCCGAGAGCACATCACCCGGTGGACGCGTGGTGGCCGGCGAGTGCCGTGGGTGAACCGCGAGCGTGGTACTTGCGTGTAACGAACGAACGACGGGCCAAGATCGAATTCGAAGGCGAGCGCAATAATTGCAGCCGGCGCGACGGCTGAAGGACCTCCGACTGCACGTATAACTTGCGCTCAGCCGCCGCCGCCGCCGCCGCCGTCGCCGCTGCCGGTTGCCGGCTAGTCGGCCGAACGAAAAACAGACAAAGAGTCTTCTTGCGCCGTGAGTAATGCCGGCCCCGCTCGGCCAATCAGAAGAATCGGCACGATCGCGGCCCGCCGTTCAATCGGCCGGTCGTCGAGGAACTCGATGACGTTGCCATCGTCGCGTTCGCCGAGCCTACGACCCGAGGACCACGATTTTCCTTAACTGCAAAAAAAAAAGCTCTTCCAAGTCTGTCCACGACTAGGACCAATAACGATCGATCTTTAAATCGCATTAACCCCTTGACATACAATGACGAGTCTGACTCGTCATTTATTCCACTTAATTTGTATGTAAAGTTCTATTTAATTTGTATGTCAAGGGGTTAATTTTAACGCGTTTGAAAAGTCACGTATAATGATTTATTGCAATAAATTCTATAGGCAAGTGTAATATGATTTTATTAAGGGTGTATGGCGCATGAAGTATTTATTAATACTTGTGCCAATATTCAGATAGCCCAGAGATATGAAGATTAAAAAAGCTCGAAACAGTTTTCTAATACTCTCATATCGAGTGGAGTCGCCTGAAGAATTTCTAAATTTTCTGAGATAAGAAGAGACGTTTCAGACGAGAGTTGTTTAATTCCGAGTTACACGTCGTACATAACTTTTATTGGCGAGAGCTAAAAGTACATACATGGCGATCTGTAAGAAATCTGTAAAGAAGAGCAGTTCTGATCGACCGGTCCGCCATCTCTTTCCCTAAGAAACGGTTCAAGAGCACGGGTACATCGAGACAATGTTGCGTGTCCTTCGCGAGGCACCATATATTCCTCGTAGATCGTGCGTGTCCGTAGGCATACTCGTGTAACACGCGGGTACGCCGGCCAGTAGTACCAGTCGATGGTTACACGGCGACTGGGAGATGAAAATAAAAAGTAGTCGAAAGAGGAGAGACGCGCGCGCAGGAAGAAACCGGTTTCCATGGGGGTTTCAGCCTCAGCCTCCACGAAACGATCCGTCTGGCTGGACTCCGCCGCCGCCGCCGCCGCCGCCGCTCGCCTTCCACCGTGTTTCGCGAAAGCTTGTGCTCCGGTGCACCACCTACCTACCAACCTACCTACCGATCTACCTGTTCCACTCCCTCCTCCTCCGGATCAGACCTGCTGACCAACGTAGGTACCTGATCCGACTTCAAGGGTTCGAACTCGCGGCATTCCTCACCGAATGGCCGCTGGACATTCCTCGCGGGGTAAATCGATGCAAGATCCTATTCTCACGCTTTAATACACTCGCATTATCCACCTCTGCGTTGAATACCGGCAAGCTTCTTAAAGTATTTTTATCTATTCGATATTCAGTTTAAGCTCGTGCGAGACCTTAACACTAGATTGCCCAAGGAAGTCATTTTGACTGTTTTTTAATTTCAATTAGCACAAGAAAAACAATTATGTATATAATAACACAATTTCTTTTTTTTATTGTTAACATTTACTAATAACTTGTTATATGACTGTAAATAATATAAAAAATATTAAATATTAATTTTAGACAAATTTCTTTACACATTATTCTTTCACAATGCAGTCATTTTTACTGCTTTTAGGCAATATAGGTATATACTAAGTTTCAGTCTTTTTGGTGTTAAATAAATTCACCCTCTCTCCCCGACATTAATCATTCTTGCCTGCGATCATTAATTGTCTATCGAGAGATATCGATATAAAAAATGTCGAATGTGAACTGTCCACTAGCCTTGGAAATTGCGAAGAAAAAGATACACATACTGATGTCTGAAGTCGCGGAGGGAAAACTGGTTTTTGCATTCTGTAAACAAGAGAAGAATGCTCTGATAACCCTCATAACTACGCGGTATGCGGGTTTCAAACTTTTACAAGTTTCGTTTGTTTGATAAATTTTGCATCATCGCTGTTCCTGAGCCGTTGATCGATGCAGTCGGTCTCAGCCCCGACAGAGACCTTGAAGACTGCTGCAATATCTATCGTTCTTCTAAGCACTATGAACCCAGTACCAATCGTTTCTGACGTTAACGAAAGAAAGCGAACGGTCTCAGTACTGCTCCGACGTTAACGAGACTTTCCCTGAATCCATGTTAATTATTATGTATTACGAACACGGTTTAGATAACACTAACAGCTAAACAAGTTGAACAGTACAGAATTTCACTTATTAATAGTAAAATAGTACTTCGTGCTCTACATTTCTCGCGTTAGAAAATCTTAACAAATTAATATACAGTGAAGATCATAAATAGTCGTATATATTGTAAAATTGAATTACTTTTTACTACGTTTTTATTAACTCGCTTTCTTATT